CAAGATTTTGGCTGCGCGTGGCAGTGGAGCTGCCATGACATCCAGGGTAGAAGGGCGTCTAGGATCGTCTGGGCAACCTTCTTCGTCCTGGGTGATAACGAATCCTGAATGGCCAGTCGCCGGGTGACCCTCGGCTGACTTCATCCACTTCTCTTGAATGTTGGATACTCGCTCCAGGTGTTGACGTTCTCCATCATCTTGGACACTCCAGGATCTTCCAAGCAACAGTGTCTTGGAAGTCAGGTAATCTGCTGCCTGATTGAAGTCCCGCTTGACGTACCGAGTCGAACTTTGCTTTCAATGTTTCACAGCTGGTCAATCGTCTTTGCAAGTTAGGCTGATTACAATTAATCAGACCCTGTACTTGCTGGAGGACGATTCGTGAGTCACCCACAGCGATCAGGTCTCTGACGCCCCTGGCTTGTGCCATGGTTAAACCATTCAGGAGTCCACAGTACTCGGCGTCATTCACAGTGACATCTTCCAGGATGAAACCCTATGCATCCAGGATTTTCCATCCAGGGAGTTCCCACAAAATACACCCACAGCTACCTTGCCGGGTAGACGTCTTGGCAGCACCATCAAAACTTAAAACGATGCCCTCGAAGGTATCTTCCAACATCTCCACACTGATTATCGGCGGCGGTTTCGCACGCCCCTTGGCAGGGATGAGTTCCTCGGCAACTTCGTCTAAATGCTCTCGAGGTGTGATACCGGCGCCCAGGATGGCAGCTAGTCCATCTTCGTCTCGCTGGATCTTGCTGACATCTAGGTTCCACTGCGAAAGTAGAACGCCCCAGGGTACACATCTCCCATCCGCCGTCTTGGATTTCATGATCCACTTCAGAACCGAATGCCTAGTGTACACGACGAGAGGACAACCCTGAATGAGGGTCCTGAACACCTGTAGTACCCTCAGCACGGCGATGACTTCCTTTTCTGCGATGTGATACCTCAATTCCGCATCGTGGAGAACCCGGCCTGTAAAACGCACTGGCTGGATCAAACCGTCATGTTCTTGACCCAGGACTGCACAAGCAGCCCATTGATTTGCATGGGGTATTATGACAAACGGTTTGGTCCTGTCAGGGTGTCTGGGGTCGATACGATCTTGTGTTTCAGAATTTCAAACGCCTGCTTTGCCCTGGAGAGATCTCGCCCTGAGCGCACTTGGTCGTCCGAGAGTTCATACAGGGAAGCCTCAACCACGGGGTCGTCTTCAATGAATTTATGATAGTAATTCAAGCTGCCCAAGAAAAATTTCACTCCCTTCAGGGTAGTTGGGAACGGTAAATCCTGAACCCCCTTAGCGATCTTCGGTGTTGCCCTGATCCCTTCAGCGCTGATCTCATGTGACAAATACGGGATGGACAATTTCCCGAACTCGCATTTCGGCAGACTCACTGAGATATTCCAATACCGCAGCCTGTATAGCAAAGCATCAAAATCAGCACACAATGCACCCCAAGTTGGTGCGCCGTGCGCGATATCATCGATATAAGAGCTTAGGACAGGCGACATCTGGGTTGGAGCAAGGATGTTCCTTTGAACACTGTCATTTGGTCCGCCAGGGTTGGCAACAACCGAGAAACATGGTCGTCTTCACAACAGGTGCACCCTGGAGTGCCACACCCTGGGGGTCCATCATCCTGGGGGTCCAGATTCAGGTAATCCAAAACTTCTTGGTCCACTTCCGCCTCCCCTTCTGGTGGCAGACGCACGAATCCCCACAGGCAATTATTAAATCAGGGGTGCATTTTTCAGACCAAATGACATTCGAATCCACTGAAAATGCCCAAACGGACATACGAAGTCTGATTTCAACTTGGCTCTTTCGGTCATCTTGATTGCTCAGAAACCGCTGGCCATATCTGCTGGCCATATCCAGACTCATGAACCAGAGCGCTTTCTCGAAACCAACTAGCAGGTCGTCAAT